CATTTGTCCCACCCTATGAACTGTATTCTTGCGGCCGCCCAATTAAGCTACGTAGCTGACTATAAAATCCTCCCACGGCCACGGTAAAATGAAATCACATGTATAATTGTATCTGAGAGAAGCCCTAAAACTCAACCCGAAATGAAACCAGCTGCAGCCACATTCGTTACTGTCGTCGTTGTGGTAATTAGCTTAGGGTTTTGCAGCAGCAGCCATGAAGAGGATCCTAGCGGCAGCGGCTGCAACGCCGGCGTGTTCCAGAGCGCCGAACCTTGGGGGGAGGCCAAGTATGGGCTTCTCAGGGACTTGTTGTACAACACATTCTCGCAGCCCGATTCGCGGTACTGGAGCAAGTACACCGCCGCCGACGGCACCACGCTCCTCTACGGCTACGCTTCCTGCGCCAAGTACGAGCGGTGCGATGATAGCGCCGTGTACTCGTGCCCCACTGAATCTAATTGGTGCTCTGGCTGCCTTTATTACGCCTTTGGGTTTCTAAGAGATGCCTGTGACGGCAGAACAGGAGGCCACGTTATGGAAAACACTGATACGCTGCAGTGTTACATGCGGTTTCAGGACACCCAGTTTTGGTAGCTAGCTTTGAACTGTAGTGAGCTAATATTAATGACGCATAAAAATATCTATCTCCGTGAATAAAGGCATCGTTTGTTTGAAGGAAACGTGGTCAAATTTTTCACATTTTACAAAATCGTGACATGTGGGAATTAAAGAAAATTTCACGTTTGGGAAGAGTTTGTGTTTTGATTTGAGGAATTTTATAATGATTTACGGTATTGGTGTTTTAGGTTTTTTCAACTATTTGGAAATGCGAAAAGAGAGTCGGCGGCTTTGTGGTGGTTGGAATGGACAGAAACCATTGCAGTGTAAGCTTGCAATATTCGGATTGACAGCTTTGGTCCAAGATAGGGTCAGTAACCACTGGTTACTGACCCATCAGTAACAACACGCGGGCCGTAGATCTAGGGATGGAGAAATCGTGTGGATGGGCTGGACGCTGGATGGGGAGGGGGCATTTTTGTCCGTTTTTGTATTTTTAATTTTTTTATTTATTCTGCATTTCAATGGCTGGGTTTTCAATGAAAGAGAGAGAATGTCTTTTCTCTGCAACTCAACTTTCTTCCTTCTCTCTTCCTTTTTTTCAACTCAACTTTCTTCCTTCTCTCTTCCTTTTTTTCAATTTCTTTCCAGATACTTTCTCTTTCTCTATTCCTTCTCTCTTACTTTTTCTCTCACAATCTCTTTTTCAAATCTAAATCTACTCTCTTCCTTCTTCATTTTTTTTTCTCTAGCATAAAAATTGTAGCCACTCTCTTTCATTGCATTTCTTCTCTTCATCAAATCGTTGGACTCAATTCCGATCTTTCTCATTTTTTTTGGCATTTTGGTGTTCTTGATTGAGGAAGAGGAAATGAGAGACATCAGAAGACGATTTTTTTCTCTCCCTCCTTCTGTTTTTTTCCTTTTAGATAATATATATTGATATTATGACTCTATACCATATGGTATTGGGTGGTAACGAAATATATATTGATATTACCACACTATACCCTATGGTAATTTATTGTATTGAGTGGTAACGAAATATATATTGATATTACCACTCTATACCATATGGTATTGTGTGATATTACCACACTATACCATATGGTATTGTGTGGTAACGAAATATATATTGATATTACCACTCTATACTATATGGTATTGTGTGATATTACCACACTATACCATATGGTATTGTGTGATAACGAAATATATATTGATATTACCACACTATACCCTATGGTATTGGGTGGTAACGAAATATATATTGATATTACCACACTATACCATATGATATTGGGTGGTAACGAAATATATATTGATATTACCACACTATACCCTATGGTAATGTATGGTATTGCGTGGTAACGAAATATATATTGATATTACCACTCTATACCATATGGTATTGTGTGAATTGTGTGATATTACCACACTATACCATATGGTATTGGGTGATAACGAAATATATATTGATATTACCACAATATACCATATGGTATTGGGTGGTAACAAAATATATATTCATGTGGCAAATATTACCATACCATATGGTGTGCTCTTGTTTAATACCAATCAATACCATATGGTATAGACTGGTAATAATTGACAAATTTTTTTGTTTCCAAAAATATCAAAGTGGATATCATTTTGAAGAGCACAATTAATCTGATCTAACTGTGCAAAAAAAATTAAATTTCGACTTAAAACGAGTGAGAAATCGTCCGTTAAAGATTAAGAGAAGGAAAATTAAATGTTTTGCGAGGAGAGAGAAGGGGGCGCTGATATGCTCCGGTCAAAAGTGAGCATCAGCAATAAATAGGAGTAAGTGCAATTTTACCCTACTATCCTTTTCACATTTAATTTAAATAAAAAAGTGACTGACACGTGGAGACCAGGGAAGGGGTTACTGATGGGTTACTGACCCATCAGTTACTGACCCGATCTGGACCCGATAGCTTTGCCCTTAACTTGCTGTTTTATATGTTAAGTTTTCCATTAATTGTATGCGGGCTCTCGTTTGGTAAGAAAAAAAGTTACAGTTGGATGGGTTTATTTGTTTGGAATAAAATAATCAAATCCGTACTTCATTTAGTTTTATGTCAAAAAGAGAAAAAAAATTAACTCCATTCAGTTTTGAAAGACATTTGACCCCATTTATACTTTTTTTTTAACTCAAAACGATTTCATTGAAATCAGACTGCAGCCTCTTGGGCAATTACATCAGCTATTTGGGCTGGGTAACAGCCTTGCCACATTCGTTCTCCAGCACTATGAAAAGGAAAAAAATGAGCAAGGAGGTGAGCAGCCATATTAGCTTCTCTGAAAACAAACTTCCAATCCAGCACATCAATCTCCACGCCTAATAAACCGATGCCTCTGCACACATTTCTGATTTCTGTTCTGCTATCTTCATTGCCTTTAAGGATGTTTATCAACTTCTTGCAATCAGACTCCACTTGTATGGTTCTTAGTCCCAATTCTTTAGCTTTTTGCAACCCAAACTGTAGAGCCATCCCTTCTGCAATATCAAGGGGCCAGTTTGCTCTGATTGTTCTGCTAGCTGCCACCTTCACATTCTCCTGCCAGTCTCGAATTATAAATCTCATTCCTATCTCCCCTTTACCACTACATCCTGCATCAGAGTTAAGTTTATAAACCCCTCAGGAGGCTTTTCCCATTTGCAGTTCTTCCTGTTAGCACTTCTACTGTTGGTTTTCTCCTTTCCCTGGACTGCCATATAATCCTGTATATAGTCATCAGCTCTTGTGAAGACCTCCCATTCTTGCATCATCTTATTGTTGAATAAACTGTTGTTTCTTTCCTTCCATAAGAACCAAAGAAGCGAGCGGAATCTTTCGATATCCCCTTCTTTCGCCTCCTTAACCACCTTGAAAATCCATTCTTTGCAAGAGAGATTTGAAGCACAATAGAACAAATCTGCAACCGGAGTTTTTGACCAGATTCTCCCAACCCAGCTACATTCCACAAGACAGTGTTTTAGCGATTCCCTCATGCCACAATTAGGACATTCATCTCCTCTTCTTTTGCTTCTCTTGCTGATTCTTACTCCCACAGGAACGATGTTATGGGCAACCTTCCAAAGAAAAGTCTTGATCTTCCCCGGAATGTTCAGCTTCCAAATTTTCCTCCAACCTGTATTTCTCTCCTGTTCAAAATCACTTTCAGACATTGTCCCTCCAATCTTACTCATCTCTACATCATATCCAGATCTGACTGTGTACTTTCCATTTTCAGTACCAACCCAGCATAATACATCCTTTTCAATAATAGGAGATAATGGGATATCCATAATGGCCTGCTGCTCCTCGTTTGTGAAAACTAGTTCAATCAAGTCCCTTCTCCATGTTCTAGTATCTTGATCAATGAGACACGAAACTTTAGAGTCCCAATCCAGAAAAGGGCTGTAGGAGTATACCTGAAAGTTTTCCAGACCTGGAACCCAACGATCCCTCCAAATGTAGACATCATCTCCTAAGCCTATCTTCCATCTGCAGCCCGTCTTTAGAAGCTCCTGGGCCCCCATAAGGCTCCTCCAGATATAGCTAGGTCTCCAACCAAGTTTTGCATCCAGAATGCTGTATTTCGGATGGTATTTTGCCTTCAGTAACCTTGCAACAAGGGATTGAGGCTTGAGATTCAGATTCAAGAGCTGCTTTGCAAGAATAGCTGTGTTGAAAACTTTGAGATTTTTGAATCCCATTCCTCCCTGCTCTTTCCTCCTACAAAGCTTCTCCCATCGTTTCCAGTGAATTCTTTTTTCGTTTTCTTTTTGTCCCCACCAGAAGTTGGCAATAAAGCTGTGTATATCCTCAATAATTCCATCAGGAATCTTAAAAACTCATGGATACGTGTAGTTGGAATTGAATGAAGCCCCATTTACAAATTCAATACGCACACGTGGACCTCCCTCTCCATACGAGATAGACAAATTCTTATACTAGTGCCGCCAAATCAGCAAAAATGTTATAGTCCAATCAACATTTAAAATAAAGATTAATTGCATGGTTGGTCATTGAGATTGCAAAAAAGTTCAAATTAGATCACTCAAAATATTTAAATCTATTGGTGGTACTTCAATTCGTTCACGTTTGGTCACTCTCCGTCCAACTCCGTTAACTTTGGCTTACGTGGCGGTCAACTCTAAAAGTTGACCGTTAAATGTGTGACGTGGCAATTTAAAAATAATAAATTTATTAGTGGAAAAACAACTCCGCGGGCAAGAAGCTGTTTGGTGGTCCATTAGCTTGGGCTGGGGGTAGTGGCAAGAAGCTGTTTGGAACAACAACTCCGCGGGCAGCCTTGTATGTGGCCGAGTCGGATACGGAGGATATTCTCCAAGCGGAAAAGGAAGAGGATGATGTGTGTGATGAGCAGGAGAACAACCCTAACTGCTGACCATCCTTTTCACGGCAGCAGAGAAAATTCGTTGGAGGCGTGAGTGGAGATCTGCACTTGTAGTAAAGGGACTGGGTAGGCGGGTAGCGTTCCTTCCCCTTTCCCATAAGTTGGATAGCTTATGGGGGAAGCACGGTGAGCTCCAGATCTCATATATGAAAAATGGGTGTTTCCTGGTGCGATTCCGACACCAAGATGATTATGAGTTTGCGATGAACGGGGGTCCATGGCTTCTAGGTGAGACCTATCTCACGGTCACACGTTGGTACAAAGGTTTTAACCCCTGGAGGTCGGAGACAACTTCAGCGATGGTCTGGGCGCAGCTCCCCGACCTTCCTATTGAGTTCATTATCAAAGAAGCGGTCATGAAGATCGCATCATATATCGGGAAGCCTATTCGGGTGGACAGGGCGACTGAATTTGGAGAACGTGGGAAATATGCCCGGGTTTGTGTCGAGGTGGACTTTACTAAGCCTCTACTGTCTCGATTCAAGATCGAAGGAGAAGAATACCTCATCCAATATGAAGGCTTGGAAAACATGTGTACTGACTACGGGATATATGGCAAACCTACCCAACAGTGTGGCTGTTAGGGGTGTTCAAATGGTTACCGTGGTAATAACCAAACCAATTAAGCCTAAATTTCATTAACCATGGAATAAAATGTCTTAACCAAATCGTCCAAATTAACACGAAAACCAAATTAACCAAACCAAAGTTTAATTGGTTTGGTTAATCGGATAATCGGATTAACCAAATAACATAACATTACATGAAAACAATTATCATGTTAATGAATAAAACATAACCATATATTGTACTATCATAAACTATCATTATATATGAGCAATAACTAACCATCCATGATTATCATAATCATTCGAGTTAATACATCATTAATCATCTCTGCAGCTAATATAGTTAGCATACAACAAACCCCTTAACATAAATACATACAATACCTCTCATCGGGAATTTAAAGCTCTCCTACAAAACTCTTAAACTATACATAGTTTGAAGTGGCTATCATGGTATTGTACGTAATCCTAAAGTCTAGTAGTTGTCTAAAATGTTTTGGTTTAGCAAATTGGCAGGCCTATTTAATTTTTGACCCATAATGTTGTTGTTTGTTGTGCACATGGAAATAAAATAGGGAATCACAAAAGTTTGGCTTGATTGGTTGCATGGAAGTATAAATAATTTTGTATATTATGTGTATCATTAATTGGTTAATTGGTTTCATTGGTTAGCAGTGTTGAAACCAAACCAAACCACCTAAACCAAATAAGCTAAATTGTTTAACCAAACAAACCAATTATCCAAATTAACCAAACCAAATTAACCGAATGCTACCGGTTAATATGGTTACCACGGTAACCAATCCATTTGAACACCCCTAGTGGCTGTAAGGACATGAACAATGAGGAAACCCAACCTACGCCAGACATGCTGCCTGAAACTCGGCCGGAATCGCGGACGTAGAGTTAGGTTTATGGGGATTGGATGATCGTTCAACGTCGAGAACGTCGAGTGCACAAGCCCACTACCCCATTAAACTACCACCAAATCCCGGTGAAGCAAAGAGAGAGTGATCAAGGGGATAGGAACAAGTTCTCGGTACTACAAGAGGAAGTCACTATGGGGGAGGACGCAATGCCAAGGGAGACTACCAAAATGGCGAGGGCGAGTGTCCCGACAGGGCGAGTGTCCCGACAGGGGGAAGGTGGACCACTGAATGTACAGAAGAACAAGGGGGCAAGTGATGAGAGTACAGGGGGAAAGAGTAAGGTTCAGGAAGATGTGAGTAAGGTGAAAGAAGGGGCTAGTATGAAAGGTGGGCAAGGCCAGGGAGTAAAACAAGTACAAACAGCGGAGAAACACTCAAAGAAATGTGGTTCGGAAGTGAGAAAGGAAGATAAACTTAATAAGAAATAATCAGCTGATAATCAGGTACAAGGAGCTGCAAAACATGATGGTGCGGTGAACCTATCCCCTTCAGGTCATTAATGTGAATCCAAGTAATCAAGTTAAATTAATTTTATGCCAATTTATAAACAAGTAATGAGTTGTGGCATAGTGACGAATTCCTTATATTACCTTTGTATTTCATTTTTATTATAATCATATATGGCTTTATTTCCTCTGCCAATTCTTACCCCTGCCCTGGAACAATGCCCAACACGGCTGGTTTTTCCTATGTATTTTGTTCACCCAGAAATTTTAGATCCAATAGATCATGATGAACTCATTCATTCTGTGCAAAAAATTTCGAAAACGACTTAAAATCGTAGGAGATACCATGTGGTATTGGGTTGGTAACGGGATGCATGAAATTTTTGTTTTAAAAAAATATTGAAAATGGATCTCATTTTGTAGAGCACAACGAACTCGTTCCATCTTTGCAAAAAAAATTGAAATTCAAATTAAAACGCAGAAGAGAAGAGTCGATTAAGAAAACTAGGGAAAATACAATGTTATTAATTCTCCACCCTTAGATCTACATGCCACTTAAAAGGAAGGGTCTAGATTTGATTACTCATATTAAGCGTCCTAAGGTTGTTCACCTTATCCAGAGCCAAATTATCGAGCTAATCCAATTCATTTCATTTAAATTCAATCCATTTGATCCAAATCCGATTGGTGGATTCATGGATTGATCCATGGATCCAAATGGCAAATTACGGTTAGGTAGCTAAACTTTTCATATTTTACATTTTGGTACCCAAAATTTAATTTTTTATGCAAAAAATATCATTGGAAAATTATGTTTTGGTACCTAAAATTTTTTATCATGACATTTTAGTACCCAAACTTTTCAAAATTTACATATTGGTCCAAGACTTGAATGTCATTTGGATTCATGGATTAATTCACCAATTCACTTGATCCGATCCATTTGATCCATTGATACACCAATTCATGAATGCAATCCAATTGCCACCTCTAACACTATGTTCATGAAGGAAGGGAGGAAAAGGAGGGGAGGGTAGGAAAATTTGGAGGGGAGGTTAAATTTGGAAGGGAGGGAAATTAGAGGGAATTGGAAAGAAAATGTTGTTTAATAGAGGGAAAGTGGAACAGTTTCGTAATCCTTGATATTCTCGACACCCAATTAATAAAAAATGACTTAAGTATTAATTTAATTAATTTGAACAATGAAGATCATAAAAAAGGGTAAATATAATATAGTAGCCAAATCTTTGATTTTAAACAAAATAATAGCTAAATTTTTTTAGAAACAGTATAATAGCCAAACCGTTTATTTTCTATTCGGTCTAACGTTAGTTGACTCTGACGTAGCTAAAGTTGAGTGATATGGAATTTTTTTGGGAGGTGACAATAACTCAAATATTTGACGAGGCCACATGGTTTTTTTATATTTATAATGCATTGTTTATAAGTAATTTTAAATGTAATTAATACTGATATAGTCTATATAAATTTAATTAGATCAATTAATACTTTATTAAAAAACTGACCATTCCCTTATCCTTCTCTCATACACCCACCGTGTGAAAGCACACTCCCAAACTTCCTCTCTCTCTCTCTCTCTCTCTCTCTTACTACGCCTCCTCTCCCTCCCTCTTCTCTAATGCCAAAGCAAGAGAAGCTCAGTTCTCCTCATCTCTTTTCCCTAGTGATCAATTTCAATCATAGACTTCTAATCCGAAACCCAAGCCTCCATCTTCCACCGGTGAATCCTGCGGCCGTCACCCACTGCTGCATGTTTCAGTTTTCGATTTATGAGATTTCGATTTGGGGGAAAAAAGGTTAAAATCCAGTCTATTTGTTTGGTTTTTTGGAGAGGTTTTCGATGAAAGAAGATGGGGGAAGGCTTGTAGCTCAGTTCAATTTGGGAAGGAAGAAGGAAGAAGTTGAAGCTCAGTTCGATTTGGGAAGATGGCGGATTTTTGGGACAAAGAGGGAGCGAGTGAGCTTGGATCGATTATACTTATTGGGAGATAGCCATGATTTTCTCTGGTTTGGGTTTGGGTTTGCATTTGGGGAGAACGAAAAAGAAGATGGGAAAGACAGAGGAGAAAGGAGAGAGAGAGGATAGAGGAGGGAGCTGTCAAAAAAAAAAATTGAAATTGTTGTTTTCTCTCCGATTTGGAGGGTTGGGTTCAACAGTGACCCATCCCTCCCTTTTCCCTCACCTCCACACTGTACAAAGCTTAAAAAACAGGGGAAAGTTCCTCGAAAATCCAACTCTCCTCCCTTTTCTTTCCTTTCCCCCCTTTTCTGCTCTAAATGAACATAGTGTAAATCTCTCCCTCCGCCATTTTTGTCCCACCCAATAAATTGTATGCGCTTGCAGCCCAATTTCGCTATGGTACACACAGCAAGTTTTGTGTGCACCAACTCACACGGCCGAGAGAGGGCCACGCCGCCCAAACCAGTAACAGAGGGCCAGAATTGAGCGAGCTAGGCGTAAGAGAGGAAAGGGGAAAAGCGAAGCCGGCTCAGCCGAGCCAAAAACTGGAGGGAGGGAAAAGTGGTGGGGTCGGGGCAGCGGGCTTTTGAAATTGAAAAAAAAAACTGTCTCCTCCAACCGCACCACCTCCTCCGCTCTTCTTCTTTCTCTCTGCGTTTTCTTTTCTTCTTCTTTCTCCGTTTCTTTCTCTGTTTTGCTCTCGTCGAACCAGAACCAGAGCACACCTCCCTGCCCAAACACAGATCTCTTGTCGACGAGAAAGAAGGACATCGGCACAAGGAAAGCGAGGACGACGAGGTTCCTTCAGCCGACGAGCAGCGCAGTTGATAACCAGGAGAGCCTCGACGAGAGCGAATCGTCCATCCTCGAGTCTGGGTATTTGCTCCGGTGAGGACGATTCTCTCTGTCCTTTTCTTTCTAGGTGTGGGCTTTTCCCTTGAATCCTCCTTTTTGCTTCATTCTTGGTTGTTTAGGGTTTATTGAATACGCGTTTAGGTTTTTTTGGTACAGCTTCAAAATCGACTCGATTCTCAAGGGTATTCTTCAGAATGTGTCTTGTGTAGGCGAGATATGTGAATTTTTTGTTGACTAAGTTTTTGGGTTGTTGCTTAGAATCGGTTTTTGCTTAGAATCAGTAAATATGGTTGAATCCAATAGTAGTTGTTACCGTAACCTTCAATCTGTTGAATACTAGTGATTTGTGGTTTGAAAATTAGTTATATAATGTTGACTGTGTTGTTGACTAATACTAGTTCTTCTGATTTTGAATATTAGTTGTATAATGTTGACTGTGTTGTTGACGAATACTAGTTCTTCTGATTTGAGTATTGTTGTATAATGTTGACTGTGTTGTTGACGAATACTAGTTCTTCTGATTTTGAATATTAGTTGTATAATGTTGCATGTGTTGTTGGCGAATATTAGTTCTTATGGTTTTGAATATTAGTTGTATAATGTTGACTGTGTTTTTGGCAAATACTAGTTCTTCTGATTTTGAATATTAGTTGTATTCATTGAAATTGTTTGTCATAGATTAATATTGCATGTTGAAAGTTCTGAATATTAGTTCTCTTCATTGTGTTGTGTTTCCCCCTTTTCTGAATACATGTGTTTTTGGTCTACAGGTTTGGAATAATGGTGTGAACCAAGAAGCGTGTT